TTTGAGACAGCGTCTCAAGCTGTCACCCTGGGTAGAGTGCCATAGCATCACAGCAACCTCCAACTCTTGGGCTTCAGCGATTTTCTTGCTTCAGCCTCTCGAGTAGCTGGGACTACAGGTGCCTGCCACAACGCCCGGCTATCTTTTGGTTGTAGTTGTCGTTGTTGTTTGGCGGGCCAGGCTGGATTGGAACCCGCCAGCTCCGGTGTATGTGGCTGGTGCCCTAGACACTGAGCTACAGGTGCCAAGCCTGCATTTATTTTTAAATTGAAAATTCTTCTGGTTGTTCTCCACAGGGAGGCTTTGAAGGTGAAAAGGAAATCAGGTCACCACCAAGGGAAACGTGTCGGGAATGTTCTCTATGTCTGCCCTCCGGCTGAGCGAATGGATTGCTGCAGTTCAGGCCTGTCTAGAGGACAAATACACAGGCATCACCATTACACTATTAGAGGTTTTTTTTTTAAAAGACAGAGTCACTCTGTCACCCAAAGTAGAATGCCCTGGAGTCATAGCTCACAGCAACCTCCAGCTCTTGGGCTTAGGCGATTCTCTTGCCTCAGCCTCCAGAGTAGCTGGGACTACAAGTACCCACCACAATGCCTGACTATTTCTGTTGTTGTTGTTGCAGTTTGGCCGGAACTGGGTTCGAACCCACCACTCTTGGTATATGAGGCCAGCGCCCTACTCACTGAGCCACAGGCACCACCCCAGAAGTTTTGGGGTTTTTTTTGAGACATAGTCTATGTCGCCCTCGGTAGAATGCCATGGCGCCACAGCTCACAGCAGCCTCCAACTCTTTGGGCTTAAGGGATTCTCTTGCCTCAGCCTCCCAATTAGCTGGGACTACAAGCACCCACCACAGGGCCTGGCTGTTTTTGTTGTTGTTGCCGTTGTCATCATTGTTGTTTAGCTGGCCCAGGCTGGGTTCAAACCTGTCAGCCTCGGTGTATATGGCCAGTGCCCTACTCACTGAGCTACGGGTGCTGAGCCACCATCAGAAGTTTTAACAACTAAATTTTTAACGTTGCTAGTTAATGGTGGATTAATTAATAACATAAATAACATTTTCCCTATATAATAAAATTATCACTAACAATGATCATGCTACTTTTCTACAGATCTAATTTCAAATATATAATTTTTTAAGTTAAAAAGGCATATTAAGAATACATGGCTAATGGGTGGTGCCTGTGGCTCAGTCAGTAGGGCTCTGGCCCCATATATTGAGGGTGGCAGGTTTGAACCCCGCCCAGCCCAAACTGCAACAACAAAATAGCTGGGCATTATGGCAGGCGCCTGTAGTCCCAGCTACTCGGGAGGCTGAAGCAAAAGAATCGCCCAAGCCCAAGAGCTGGAGGTTGCTATAAGTTGTGACCCCACAGCACTCTACAGAGGGCGACAAAATGAGACTCTGTAGCAAAAAAAAAAAAAAAAAACAAACACATGGCTAAAGTATAAATAATCTGCAAATGGACTTAAGCAATATAGGTAGGTTGACTAAAATCAAGGCCACTTACACAGAGCCTACAACTACAACAGCACTTACTAGCCTACCCCCCACCAAGCTCTACTTCAAAGTTCTAATGAAGCTAGTGAGCAAGCAATACTTTGGGCCTAAAATAGACAGGTGGACCTATAAAAATATCTAATTCTATATATCAGAATTTTATATTCTCTATAAAAAAATTCTAATATTTATGTGATTGGAAAAAACATCACAAGACGACTAAATTATAAGGTGCTAAGATTTACCAAGGCATAAATGACAAAATTTATTCATGTTTCTAATATATCAAAAACAAACTATTAGGATTCATTAACTTAGAGATTTACCTATAATATCAGATATTCTCAGAACCAATCATTCAGGCTACACATCTGAGAACAGGATTAAATAAGGTTTACACGAATTAGCCTTATGCTGAAAGCCCTGATCCTCTCTAGATTTTAGTTTATGATTAAGGAAGGCTAAGGCCAAGAAAGAATGGTATGTAGGTCACAGTAACACACTTCACTCTGCTCCGGAGACACGGGGCAGCCAGAGCCTGACCACTACGAAGGCAGCTTTGAAAGACAATGGACCCCAAGGTACACAAGGGTCCTTAATTAGTGGCTTACGGAAGCAAAGTATTTACCAGGCTTCATGAAGTTAACAAAAATTGTTGCTGTTTGAGCCCATACTTGCTTTAGTGAATTGCTTATATTCTCAGATCAAATATTAACAAAGCAAAGTCATTTTCCTGACCCATTTTTAGTAGTTAGTTCTGGAAAAACTCAAAGTAAGGTAACAAAGCAGGATTGTTGACCCTGACTATACATCAGAATCATTCAGTGAGGGAAAACACATAAAGACCCTACTCCAGAAGACTGAAATAAAAGCGTCTGGGGTAGGAATGGAACCAATGCTATACAAGCTTAGTTGTAGGAAAGAGAACACAATCTCACTTATGCCACAGGACCAGCCTAATAATGTGACAGCTCTACCTAATGAGAAATTTATAGTTAAGAAGGGAATTAGGCTCGGCACCTGTGGCTCAAGTGGCTAAGGCGCCAGCCACATACACCTAAGGTGCTGGGTTCAAATCCAGCCCAGGCCCGCCAAACAACAATAATGGCTGCAACCAAAAAATAGCCGGGCGTTGTGACAGGTAC